ACCATGTTTTTGACTCTGTCAGAGTTCTCTGGGTGCTTTTCTAACACGTCCAGAAACCCAGGATCCATTCCAGTGTCGAATACTCCATTGCCTGAGTTATGGTTGAGCATGCCTGAGTCCCAGAACACATCTATGCGGTCAGTTGGGGCAGTCGCAGTTGAAGCAGCCATTGATGAACTCACTCTTTTTTTTTCTTTCGTTCTTTTAGTTGGTGTTTTGCTATGGGTTGATAATGCCGGATAATGCTCGAATGTTATTTTGTTTTAGGCCTTGAGCTCATTTTGTTTCATATCATCACTTGGGTTGTTGCACTGTTAAGTTTTGGGTTGGGCCTTAATTATGGATTAGGATTTGGATCGTCTCGTTGTGTTGGCAATACTAACTTTAATCTAAGCGGGCCCATTGTTAATGTAATATTTTTTTCTGAACAAACAAAAGAACTTACAATGAAGGTCAGCCTTAACTTTTGAGTGGCACAGGGCATAAATTAAAATGACCCCTTTTTCTTTTGTATATAATCATAGTTGATCAAGAAAAAAAAAAATTTGTTCCAATGACCAGAACCATCATTTTCTTGAAGAGAGTGTTGGATTATTTGGATGTTTGTTCCAAAACAAAAAATATAATATTTAAATATTCAATTTATTAATTGTATTGCTAAGGATTCAAAGTGATTGTTATTTGAACTCTTGGTTTTCTAGACTCTTAAAAAAAATCAATTTAATATGAATTTGAACAATTATATATCAAACATATAGATATAAATCTTTTTGGGGCCCTCTTGATATGAGGCCCCTAGGCCGTCGCCCTCGGCCTTGCAAATACGTTACTCAAAAATAAGAAAATACGTCAAGCATGGAATGGTAAATTAAAACCAAAACATTAAAAGCATAAGCTCAAGAATAAAACAAGAGAAAGAAATCAACCATTCTCCCTTAAACAAGAATATTTAACAACCTAGCTTTCTAGTTTTTATATGCTTCTCGAAATGAAAGCAGTATCCTTTTGACCTACGAGTTTCGCTTGGAGAGTAGGAGTCATGAGTCTTTGCGTGTATTGGAGTCCTCAATAGATAATTATTGAATTCTCTTTTGTACTTTACAATGTACAATTATCTTCTTCATTGGAAACAAAATTCTCTCTTTTCAATCGGTAAGGAGAGTTTTAATTATTTATTTTTGGATTCTCTTTTGTGCAATACAAGACAAGTGAACGCAAAAAACCATTAATAAAAAACACATATTGAGTCAAATAACGCGTTGCCACAATGCACATCATGCATGAAATTTGAGAACGCAAAAAAATCTATTTTCTGTTTCACCAAAAAATAATTTTATTTTCTGTTACATCAAGAACGTAAGATTGAACAAAATAAGAAAAAAGTTTGGCTCCTTAAAACTAAGAAGGAGTTGCTCCTCAGAATGAATTGAATTTTGACACTTGTCGAATTCCAAAAGAAAAAAAAAGGAAGAAGCTAAGCTCCTTAAAACTGACGAGGAGCTCATTCTCAAAACAACTGGGATTTTGACACTTGTCAATTTCATTTAATTTTTACTTTTTACTTTTTATGAAATTTTTTTAACTTTCTTTGTTTCGGAATTTGGCTAGTGTCAAAATCCCATTTTGTTTGAAGAGAAGCTCCTTGTCAGTTTTAAAAAGGAATTCAAAAGCATTTTACTTGTTTTTTTTGAGAGAAAATGGTATTGCATTCAACCCAAAGATAACCTTCCCGGGAAAAATCACAAGGGAGATAAAACCCCAGGGTAGGAAAGAGCATTCCATTTGTTTTGAAGATGACCTTCTCCTCAATTTTAAGAAGCCAAGTTTGTTCCCATCAAGGAATGGGTGTTGTAGTATAATCATCAAATTAAATAAAAAGAGTGAAGCTATTTATATATAACAATGAATTATTCATGCGTAAAAAGCATGACCAAATTCAACATTTTACTACTAATTTCGCAACTCCCGGAAAGATGGAAAGAATATTATAAAACAATTCAAATTTAAATGATAAAAAAAGAAAAAAATTAGGATGCTTGCAGTCAAAAAAGAACAATATTATAAAGGAGAAAAACCACATCATAGATGCTCCTTCAATATTATAAGCATCTATATAAAGGGACAAGAGGTTTTTATTTATTTATTTGTTTTTATTTATAATTTGTACATAGTTATTAAATTATATATTAACAGGATACGTTAATAGCAAAACATCCTTTTCATTATTAATTTTTCTTATTCTATTAGACAAAATATTCTGAAAATCAGCTCACTGACAACTTAAATTAGGATCGGTTCTTATGTCAATTATTATTGTATGTCGTGCTGTCTTGATGTTTGAACACATGGGTAGATTCAACCATCAAACAGCCAGTAGGTTGAAATTCAAGTACTTTAGATGGGCGCAGGCCTATATAATATTTGGAGTAGGTGTTTTTCCTGTGGCATTTTTAGCTTAGTACACTGTACACTAAAATGAAAATGTAAATCTTCCAGCAAAAAACGGAAAAAACGACAATATAAGCTAGAATTTGGAAACTTGTTCATAATTTTGATTTTATTATAGTAATCATTTAATTTCTGAACGATTAGTATCAATAAGGAGCTTATAATTCTAGTGATTAAAAGCATTTATATTCGACGTATATTTCTCTCTCAATATCGCTTGTATCATAAGGAAAATGGTTACCAACTGCATTTGCTAGATATATGCATATCCTCTTTTTAATTAAGTTTAACGATCAATGGTAGCTTGTAACCTAATAAAACAAGTAGAAATAGTAAAGATAATGGTAGCTTGGGTGATGCATATATTTATATATCAAGATGAGTACTACCAGTATTTCTAAACCAAAAAGAAATTTTTAGGACGACAAAATAATATATGAAAATGGGTTAAAAAGACAACAAATATAGAGAAAAGAAGTTTACTGGTTAAAAAATTGTGAGAGAGGTTGTTCCAATCAAGTGACAAAGTGACGGACCTATTAAGGCGCAAGAAAGTACATTTGTTCCTCCTCTCATTAGAAAAATCATTATAGATGTTGTATATTGCACCTTTGCTTAGCCTGAGAGGTGCACTCTAGGTGTTCGATGAAAAGCCTAAACGAAGTTAGTATGTTGCATAGAGTGCTTGTTTTTTTTTAAACATTTTTAATATTTATTTATTTATAGATCTTGGTTAAAATTACACCTTAGTTAAAAAATTCCTGGATCCGCGAGTGATGACAATGCATAATTAAAACACATTCCAATTAAAAGATAGAATGTGTTCAAATTTAATACTTATTTTAATTTATTCAACACCAAATTTTTTTAATTAGATGGTTTTGTCTCTACTTGCCACATGGTTGGAGAACAACCTCTTATAAGTTATTGTCCTTAAAGCTTCGTGGACATTGACAACGCTAGAAATTCATACTAAAAGAGACACTTTAGACTTGAAAGAAATTCTAGGAATTTAGAAAAATGAAGCAATATAGTAATAGAACATAAAGTGAATGGTTTTTCGCTGTTTGGATTTCTGTCCTTTTGATTTCATATGATTACAACTGGAGGGGAAAAAAAAGAGAGCAAACATTTCTCAATATTATTCAACACACCACTAGCTAGCTAGTAATAGGATTGTATTCTAGAGGGTTTAGCTTGTTTTCCAAACGAGCTCGAACTTAAGTTTGGCGAAGTTTAATGATGAAAAATAATAAAGCAAATACAAACAAATATAATAGTATGAGATGTCCTTGGTCAATATTGAAAAATAACGAGGCACATACATATAAACATAATAGTTTGACATGTCTCATGAGAAATGTATATTTCAATTCTGAAAGACCGGATTAATATGAAGAATGAAAAGTAAGGAACATTTTAAAAAAGTGGAGGATGTAACTAAGCAATAGTTGGATTGGATTTTTTAGGACATTATTTAATTTTGATCATAAGATTACAATGTCTAACTTTTATGAGCCACGTTTTACGAATGAGCTTAATCAAAACTAGAGCTATCTTACGAAAAGATACGAGTTTCTCACGAGCTTTACAATCCGAATATACCGAAGTTCAAGCTCAACTCATTTTTCTTGAGCCTAATATTTTGGTCGAGCTCATCTTGATGAGTCATGTGACATATTTTGTGTAGGACCGAAAACTTGGACGAGTTAGCTTTGACTAATAAAATGATATCCTATTTACGCACCAGTTACAGAATTTAGGTTTCACTAATTGAGAGTGTTAACTTTTTAAGAATTTCGGTTATACTAAGTGCAAGTGTTAACTTTTAGATTTATCATGACGGTGGTCAACCGTTTCAGTACTATATACAAGAATGCAAAAAGTTTCCAAGTTTCTGCGTCCACAAATTGATTCATAGAAAAATGAAATTATATTCTCACTTGCAGCTCGCATATCTAAAAGCATAGCTCTGCTGTAACATATGTAAGATGGCTAGCCTTCTTTGACCCTCTGCCTCTCAAGTCTCAACCACAGAAGCATAACCGTCAGGTTCTCCTGATGTGAGTCACGTGCAATGTGCTAATGTAAATTGCAACGCTCCAAAATTTGGATAATAATACATAGAGAGTAGAATATTTCTGGAAGAAATAAATATGAATACATAATTTTTTTTAATACCAGCGCTAGTCTAAATTATTTTAAATTAATTTAATTTACGGGAAGGAGAATTCGAACTTGGGTATAAAGGGGCAAGCTCACTGCCCTGATCAACTGGGTATAACCCACGTATACATGAATATATAAATTATTAGATAAAATAATTGAGTCTCTCACTCTCTCATTCTTCATCTACGTATCGAATTATTATTATTATTATTATTATTATAATGATGTGATAAGCACATTTTATTTGCCACCATCCACCATTGATCGCTTATAAATATTCTACTTTGCTTTGTCAGAACTCACTCCACAAGGCATCTTCTTCCTCCATCTAATTTTTCCTTCTGCAGCTACCAATATTTTGTTCCTCTATAGAAATATTGGAAATGACATCTTCAAATCATGAGAATGCTGCAGGACCCTTGATGAGGTTATGGGGGAAGATAGTTGGGTGTGCCTTGAAGCTCAAGAAACTAGGGAAAGATGATCCAAGAAGGATTATTCATTCTTTTAAAATGGGGCTGGCTCTCACATTGGTGTCAATTTTCTACTACTTTAAACCACTCTATGAAGGTTTTGGTCTTGCTGCAATGTGGGCTATTTTAACTGTTGTGGTTGTGTTTGAATTTACCGTTGGTAAGCAACTTCTAAAAGCTCACATCATTGTGGTCCAAGACTTCCAACATATATTATCAACTGAAAATCAGAGAGTTTAAGTTTCTAAAATGTGATATTTTGTATTTTTATTTTTCAGGATCCACACTTGGAAGAGGTTTAAATAGAATGTTGGCAACTTTAACCGCTGCTGCTCTTGGCGTCGGGGCACATCGCTTAGCAACTCTTTCTGGAGAGACAGGGGAACCCATACTTATTGCTCTCTTCGTCTTTATCATTGGTATATATGCATATACTTACTATTAGAAACAAGATTAAATTAATTTTTGTACTATATATGTATGTATATATATGCTTCAAACCAACTAATAATAATTTCATGTTGGATTTTTTTGTTGTTACTGCAGCTGGAATAGTGACATTCCTGAGATTCATTCCCCAAATTAAGGCAAGGTATGATTATGGGATGCTGATATTCTTATTGACATTCTGCTTGATATCGGTGTCTGGTTATCGCGATGAAGAGGTTATAGAAATGGCCTTCGAGAGGTTATCGACAATTGTCATTGGAAGCTGCACTTCTGTCATTGTATGCATTTTCATATGTCCAGTATGGATTGGGGTGGATCTTCACAATCAGATTGCTACCAACATTGAAAAGCTTGGGAATTTCTTAGAAGGTATACACACATATATATATATTCAAAAACTCATATTGACCAAAAATATATTTTAAAAACCTCGTTTATGATTATCTTATCAGTATTACCACCAGGAACTTCAAAGTTTAACCTGTTAAGGCCAATTACTTGCAGGATATGGAGAAGAATACTTTAAAGTATCTGAGGAAGGGCAGCCTAGAGACAAGTCATCAATTCTTGATGGATATAAAAGTGTTCTAAGTTCAAGTAGCAAGGAAGAAACCATGGTGAGAATCATACAACATTCTCTTCCTCTATTTTCTGTCCAAGAAAATTATGCTTGAACTCTACTCTGAATTCTTTAGCTTCTATTATCTAGGCTAATTTGGCAAGATGGGAACCGCGTCATGGAAAGTTCAGGTTTCGTCATCCATGGAAACAGTACTTGAAAGTTGGGAGCGTAACTCGCCAATGTGCTTTCAAAATTGAAGCTCTCAACAGCTACCTTATCTCTGAGATCCAAGTATGATGATGAAACCCTTTTCACCAATTTATGACTGTATTAATGATATGAATGCATTTCACTACCAATTTAAGTCTACTAACTTATCTTTTGCTACTCTCATGCAGTCACCTCCAGAAGTTCGAAGCATAATTCAAGAAGCAAGCACAGCAGTTAGCTCAGAGTGTGGCAAAGCATTGAAGGAATTAGCATCTGCTTTACGAAAAATGACTAAATCATCAGCAGCAGAACCTCACATTGCCAACTCAAAAGATGCTGCTGAAAATCTCAAATCTGTAATCAGATCCAGCTTATCGAAACATGACGATATCCTACAGATCATACCAGCAGGTGCAGTGGCTTCACTACTGTGTGAAGTTGTTAAATGTACAGAGGAAATTGCTGATGCTGCTCATAAACTGGCGTCCCTCGCACATTTTAAGAATGCTAAGCCGAAAGTGACCCCAGAGCAGAAAGAATTACCTTCACCGGGAATTGTGCAGCCAGTATCAGGCATCGATGGAATGCATCACATTATTACGATTAATGAACCATCTCAAAGTTTACAGGAAAATCGGAATCTCCCACCAGCAACGGCTCCAAGAATGGAAGTGTAGAATTTTTAAAGCAATAGTAATTTTTAGCTCTCTGTCAATAAATGAAATGATAAGAGGTGCTTTTGAGCTTGTTCTTTTGCTTTTTTCTCCCCCTTCAATTGGGGAGTTTGGTATGTTGCTTTTTCCCTAGAGCTTCCACTGGAAGCTCAGAGGTTTGAAGCAGTTTATATTTGTACTTGCTGCAAATGATGAATTGCCTTACTGAAAACAGAAGTGTTATCCTCAAATTGTATTTCTTTATTATGCACAATTTGAGTTTGTTCTCCTGAAAATAGAAAAACTGGAGAGGAAGGCTTAATTCAATTCGTCAGTAAAACCTTGGTTTTGCAAACTTTGGGAACAAAACTAATTTATTCATAGTTCAAGCACCAGATTGGTCTCAAAATGGGGTGTTGCAATCCCAAATTCATCTGGGGAATAAAAGAAAAACAACTTATATGAACTATTTTTTTATATGTAGTTCCTCAGAATTTCTTTTATATCTTCGGGAGGCACTTGTGACCTCTTTTAATAACGAAAAGAGAAATATCACTAGACTAAGAGCTAGTTGGTTCTCCTTTTTAAAATTACCTATTTCACTGTAATCATTTTTATCAAGAGACAAATGTTGTTGCATACTATTGCACTTGTGTGGATAATCGAATATACGATCTGATAACCATAAGGAAAACACAATGAATCACCATCTCATTGACAGATTACTTTCTTGACAACCAAGTACAATCCCACATATTACTTTCTTGAGAAGCAATCTCCAATAACATATTAAGTATCTAGCTTTATACAGTTGCCAATTACTATATAATTTCTCCTATTGATTAGCAACTCTGCTTGCTAAAGTATAAAATCGTCTCTCACCTATATATTATAACACATGTATTAGTAACAACACGATCGAGTGATCACAGGAAAAAATTTCTCCAGACAGGATGTATTTTGGTCCTGTTGTTAGTATAGCTTTTCTTGACTCTCAGCCATTGAGTTTGCCTTCGGGTTGTTGTTGTTGGTAAGTCAAAATGCTTCTTGTTGGTAGGGGCTAATAATTTCAGTGGCAAAGATCACCTCTACTTCTAGAACGCTAGTTTGATTCTTACCACACCCTAAAATCTACATATCAGTGCTAAAATTTGACCTTTCATGACTGATTGGTCCTGCAATCAATGCAAGAAAACAATATTCAACGTTGAGATGCTGCGTCATTAAATTCCTTTTGATGGATTTTTGGTCAAGTTCAAGAGCTACCATCCAAAGTCCATCTCAACAGTGAAGTTCATTAATTCTTATGATATATTCTGCCTTTGTCCTTTCAATTATATTCTACTAATTTTTGCTTTGTGACAATATTTTGGTAGATCTGTTTTCTTTATATATGTCTCATTTTTATATTAATAAATTGAATTTTCTGAAACCCCACCTAGCCCATGTTCTAAGGTCCACTAATGAATCAAAACATCTAGAATTTAGATAACTTCTTTCTTAAAACAATGCTAAAATCCAAATTCTTGGGAATAAACTTTATGAATTTTTTTTCTTCTTGTTTTTCTGCTCCCTGGAATAATTAGAAGCCTCTTCCAGTTTTGTTTTTAGCCATGATTCACAGTATATGGACTGATTTAGATGCATTTGGTGGTATTGTTTTGGATAGGCAGTGCAACTGCATAGATAGGTCATCAAATGGATTAATTATTGGCTCGCCTAACTAGTTTTACCTTTAAAAAAAAAGGGTTTTATTAATTTAAATCCTTGCTTTTAGGTTGTCGACAAGAATATTGTCATTATTGTTGTCCTATAGACGACCCTGTGTATTCAATTAAGATTTTAAAAGAGTTAAATAGAGTTATAAAGTTTATAGAGTTAAACATATTTCAATTGATTTCTGTAAACTCCACATAGAGTTTGATTGAATTCCTAAATTGATTTTAATGGTGTTTGTTAGAGTTTTATCATAGATTTTAAAAGAGTTGATTAGAGTTCTAAAATGTTTTTTTTTTCTTTTTCTTTTGGGGCTGTTTATTGTTTTTCTTCCTCAATTTCTTCATTCCATAGTACCGCGTCTACTTCTTCCTACGGTCTTGATCTCTGGTTTATTGGTTATTGCTACACTAATTACTGATTTCTTTGCTGAAATCATGACTAGTTTTTGTCTTAGAGAATGTATTTTGTATCTATGTTATGCTGTTCGTTTGTTTTGATGTGGTTAGAGATAATGCTAGTGAATGAAACGGATGTTTTCAGCCATTGTTAGTACTGTTACTCTGGCCCAAAATTGTAAATAACTATATAGATTAAAATAAAATACCATTAATGAAAAGACAAAACTGAAAAAGCATAAAGGCATATAAAACACAAGCAATACTCATAAATAACACACATAAACATTACCCAAATAATTAATTCTAAACCAAAGTTCAACAAATTCCAAACTAATAAAGTCTTAACACTTCTCCAAAATGGTAAATACTTCCAAACCGAAGTCTTAAAAATATTTTAAACCAACATGATAAAAATAGTTTAAACCAAAGTTTCAACATAATCTAAAATGGTAAACATAATCTCAAAGAACCACACTCATTCCATATTGTATAGTATCCACTCTGAGCGCTCTTCAAGTAACATTTTCAGGAATGCATTTTTCATTCCCAACTCATTAACCAACCCAAGTGCTTTGTAACGAGTACGATTATCCAAGTTCGGAGTCTCCTTGATGGCATCCCAAACATTGTTGGTTTTCTCTCTCTCTTTCTCTCTTTTCTCCATTAGGCTATGCATTCCTCGAATTTCAGTGGTAATTGCAGCAATGAATCCATGCCCACATAAACTTTTTCTACCAGTTCAACTTGAGTTATGGTCTCAACTGAATTATTATTTGCTTCAGACTCAGTTTTAGGTTTCTTTCTTTGAGGGAGCTTTTCTAATGGACCCTCCAAATTTAGGTCCAGAAAAGGTGATGAAGTAAAATTACCAAACGACAAAGATTGGTATGATGTTTCATTTTGACTTGGTGCAAATGCATCATTGGAATCCTGCAATCTGGTAGGTCTACTTTCTCCAACTTCATACATTCTAGCATCAGTATCATCACCAAGTCCAATTGAGTTTTTCCAAGCAGCTATTTCATTGCCAATTGCAATTACCAAATCCTCATAGTCTGCAAATGTATCTCTTTGAAGATGCACTTGACTTGGATGAGACTAGCAAAAACCAAAAATTAAATAATAAAAATTAAAAACATGCAAAAAATACGAAAGTGAAAGTTATCATTATAAAGTAATATTTAACAAAATTGAAATCTTACCTTAAAGTAATCTTGCCATACTTCTTCAGTAGCTGTGAATTTCTTTGAGATGGAGTCCCACCCAAATCCAGAACTATGACGCATAAGCTGAGTAAAACTGTGATATCTTGTCTTAAACCATTTTAGACGGCTTTCATATTGATGATAAGGTTTTTTGCATCCAAGTTTTGCATTAAGAACAGGAAGTATCTTGCTTTCTACTATTTGCTTGCTTAGTAAACCATTAGAATCATGTCATCCACGGTTGGCAGCATCAACCATTAGTTCTAACAACATATTGCTTTCTTTCGAGGTCCATGGGTTATAAGGTGTTTTTCCTTTTCCTTGTTGTGAATCTCCCATTTATAATGTTACTAGATAATACATGCAATCTTTAATTAGTTCACAAGAAAAAAATGTATATATGAACATATATAAGTTTTTCCTTTTTGTTTTGGCATGGACTAGATATACATAGATATTGTACCCAAAAAAAAGAAAGAAAAAGGATGAACATAGATCGATGAAGAGGGCCATCATCTATATGATATGATGCATAGAAACAAAAATAAAAATAAAAAAAAATAAAAAACAGCAACTAAAGACAAAAAATTATTAATAACAGCAAACCTTGACAAGCACACATGTTATATGATGTGCATTGAATACAAGATGTGCAATTGCTTGGATATATGACGGAAAAGTAGAAATAGCAATTGCTTGGATATATGACAGCAACAATAACTATTCAACTATTCAACTATTCAACTATTCATACATGATGTGCATCGAATACAAGCAACAACAATTGCTTGGATATATAATGATGTATAGCAACAACAATTATTCAAGCACTGGAAAGCGTAGAAAAAGAGAATAGATTTTTTACCTCCACTTGACAAGCACACACGTTCAAGGACTGGAAAGCGTAGAGGACGTTCAAAGTTACTAAGGTTCACATAAGATTTGTCAAAGCTTTTTGTATTTATACTTACCACTTTATTCTCTAACAAAATTGGGCAACTTATTAATTCCTTCAAAATAAATTACTTTTTGAATACACCTAAATTTTGTTTAACTTTTAAAAAGTCATAATTGAATACACCTAGATTTCGATGTATTTTTTTTAATATCAATTGAAATCTGAATTGAATACACCCAAACTTTTAAACTCTTTTAAAATCTTAATTGAATACATCCCCCTTAGTTGAGTTTTTTTTATTTTTTATTTTTATATTTATAAATAAATAAAAATAAAAAGTACAAGTGAGATGGGGTTTTCAGATACACTATATCAAGATGTTGTGGAAATTTGAACTAAAGACCATTTGTCTGCAAGTCAATATCATTTTCTACTAAGTTAGGCAGAGACAAATAATATACTTTTAAGGCTTATTATCACAAAACGTCCCTTAGGTTTACAAACTATCAGATTGCATCCTTAATGTTGTTTTGTGTCACTCGTGGTCCTCAAATTTAGTATGTGCGATCACAAATGGTCCCTGCCATTAGGTTCCGTCAAAAACTCCGTTAGTTTGATGTGGCATATATATATATATATATATATATATATATCACAAAATATCCATGAGGTTTACACACCTATCACAAATGGTCCCTACAAATTTTTTTAATTTTTTAATTTAAAAATCGTAAATTTTAGTTTTCATTTTAAAATTATTTATAAATGAAAAAACCATTTAGAAGGATTTGAATCTTGAGGACCATTTATGAACCCTAAACCCTTAGTTTTTTCATTTTTAAATTTTATGAATTTTAAATTATTTTTTTAAAACTCAATTAGTTTGTTGATGTGGCATATATATGGAGCCCACATCTACAATAATATAGTGTCACATGTATTTAAAATATAATATTTATTTTTAAATAATTTAAAATTCATAAAATTTTAAAAAGAAAACCAAAATTTTATGAATTTTAAATATAAAAAATTAAAAAATTTCGCAGGGACCATTTGTGATAGGTGGGTGAACCTCAGGAATGTTTTGTGATATATATATATATATATATGTCACATCAACAAACTAACAGAGTTTTTTACGGAACCTAACGGCAAGGACCATTTGTGATCAAACATACTGTTCACCCGTTTTGTGTTTACTCCTATGATGGAAGGGCAAAGTTCCCCACTGCCTTGAGAACCATAAACTGGTCAACAAGTCAGCTTTCTTTGTTGTGCGAGCGTGCCACTGCTAGTAAAAATTCTAGCAGACTTAGTTTGGAATGGATAACTTGCGTCCCAAGTTACTGATTTTTGCAAACAAGCGATTGTGAATTTGGGTGATGAATATCTCCCAAGTAAGTTCTTTTCCTGCCTCAGACTGGTGAGGACTTTAACAATTTATCTCAGTATAAAGAGGTTGTCCTGGTCAGAATGGTTGATGGGATTTAAACTGTTTTTTAGGCGGAACTGCCTTTTACAAAAATATAACAATGAATGCTTATGCTAGAGAGAGATGAAGAGACAGCTGGGACTTTGTTTCTGTCGAGTTGGAAGGTTCTGATCTGGGCTGGACTGGAAATGCCCGGGCTGGACTGGACCGTTGACAACCTTGACTGCTAGGCTTCAACTGTAAATCGATACCAAAGGTTGATTCTGGCAGAGCTTCAATGTACCTCATGCTTTTGTGAAGCTTTTGAGTGGGCAGAATTGCAGTTTTCTCAGTCTGCAAGGGCAGGAGTGACTATTTCTTGAGGGCTTCAGTGGGCTAGAGACTGCACTGTGAATTTTGTTGAGGTTTTCCATATTTGGAGGAAGCTCAAGCTCTACCTGTCTTGGTTTTTGCTGAACCAAATTTGTAACGAGAGAAATCTCGTTTTGAATGACTTGCTTCTTAAGTCTGGACCTTGGGAATTCTGATCTGAAGCTGGTTTCACTTGAAATTCAAGTGGGCTTGTTGGTTGATTTTGAACTTGTCTATTTGACGGTTTCCTTGTGTAAGATCTTTGTTTGATTGGATGATGAATTTTTTTGTTGTTCTTTACCCTGTTCACTCCTCCTTGTATTTATAGTAAAAACTAATAATGGGCGGCAAATCTCTTTCAGAAGATATCTCCCCTTTTTTTTTCTCTTTTAAAATGGAAAGAAAGAAAGTAGGATTTTATCAGTTTGGCAGATAGGCTTTCAAAATAGGCAATCACTTCCCTGTTTTTCTTGAAAAAGAACCTAATCTCTTTTCTCAATTTCAACTGCCTCTTGTGAGATTTCACCCGTGATGGTTAGTTTGATTTCTTTTCTGGACAGCTCCCTGCTTTCCTGCTTATCTCTCTCTGAGTTTGTAGCTTGCTTATCTCATTGGGAGAATTACCCTCTTTGTAGAGTAGAAGAAAAATCTCTGATTATTATATATATACATATATGTAAGAGGGATTTTTATCTTCTGATTTATTCAAGGTTTTTTCAGAACAGCTTGATGACATAAACTTTTCAATCACTTCTTTCATGACAGTTGCCATTGTTGACTTTTCTTCATCCCAGAGATGTCACGTGGGATTGTTTCCTATCTCTGGGATCCCCCCTTTTTATCACAATGGGGTTGTGAGGCCCAGGTTTTGGGCTGGGCTGGGTGTGTCAATTTTTAGACCCAAACACATACTAACCTTGATGACCACAAATGACACAAAAAAATATTAAGGATGCAATATGATAGTTTCATAAACCTTAAGGACATTCACATTGCCTAACATATGCAGATAAACACAAATTTATATGGCAAACTATTTAAATACAGATAAACACATTGCCTAATATGTGCAGATAAACACAAATTTATATGGCAAACTATTTAAACACGGATAAACACATTGCCTAAACTTCCGCCCAAAAAAGATACTATTTAAACTTAATTAATTGGCAAAGTCGATATATACATTTTGATTAATCAAATCGTAACATGAAGACGATTTTGAGACACGACACTATTGGTAACACTTCGTTTTTCATAGTTTTCATTTTTGTAATGAAGGATGAAGAGAGATGGAGGAAGGGAGGGAGGAGGGCGGAATGAAAGAAAATGTATGAAACAAAAGCTTGAAAAAGAAAATTGTTTTTAGATTATTAAAGTAAAATACTAAAAATGAAATTGCTTCGAACACATATTTTATTATTTGCTAAAAATACTATGTAGATTGTTCTTGTTTTTCTTTTTTTATTCTTTTTATATAATATTCTTTTATGAAGCTTTGGTCTTCAAAACTAGGCTGCTCTGTCTGGCCACTAAACTGACTTTGAAGTTTGAAAATGGCATGACAAATTATATACATGCAGCAGTTCCAACATCAACGGTCCCAATACAATTATTTTTACTAGTTCAACAAATGTTTTTACAAAAATTAGTTTATATATATATATATCTATATAGGATTAATTATAATTTTGCTCACTGGAGTTTGGTTTAAAAGTAATTTTAATTTTATCAATTTTGTCATTGTACTTGCAATCGTTAATAAATCAGGTCCAAGTCTTCAATTCCATTAGTTTTCAACTTTTTTTCTTCAACAGGGGCCAATTTTGGCTTAACACGATTTCCAATTTTTTTTTTGTCAAAATGTAAATTTGCTAGTTTCATTTTTTTGGACAAAAATAAATTCGAATATTTTTACAGTATAGCCGCGCGGCTATACTATTTAAATAAATTCAAATATTTTACACGTATAGCCGCCCGGCTATACTGTTAAAATAAATTCTAATATTTTTCAAGAATAGCTGTACAATGGGCTCTACAAAAGTGTCCCTCAAATATGAGCGAATCATATGTTTTTCTTGGTAAAGATATGTACGATCAATATTGTGATCAACTATCGTATGATAGATGTTTGAACTAATTGGTTGATATAGTCCTGAATGGTGTGATTTGATTTCCGTTGTCAAGATCAGTCAATGGTTGGAACCAAAATTGACAAAGAAATACTACTTTTTCAATTACGTAGTCAAAAGGGCATCTAATTCTTTAATGGTCTGCCTTTTGGCGACCTTTAATTCATTTTAGGCTAAATAATTGTTTACCTGGTTTCTGTGATTTGCATGGGTATCATAACAAGTTGGAATCTGAGTTGAGTTTTAGGTTATTTAGGCCATTTTCAGTCATGGCCATATGTCAAATGTAGTTCTAAAATAATGCAAAACTCACCTCTAGTTATGGGCTAAATTTTTTTTTAGCTCTCCAACTAGGCCACTTGTAGCCCAACTTCTACCTAGGCCAAATTTTTTATAGACCTAGTGCATGTGTTTTCCAAGAAGAAAAAGTATCACGGGTAGGCAAAAGTATGAAACATCTCGTATAACTATAGATCCAACAACCAATATTAAAGACGTGCTAACGTCAACTAGCTATTAGTTTTTTTTTTTCTTAATAACCTTTTTACATTTTTAAAATTATTTTTATTAAATATATATATTTTTAATTATTTATCTGAGCTCAGAATTATTGAGTTTTATTGATTGAAATGATATTGATTGACTTTTTTTTTTTTTTTTTTTTTTTTTTTTTTTTTTTTTTTTTTTTTATTTATTTATTTCTTTCAAAAAAAACAAAAAAAAATTTTATTTTAAAATAAAAAAATAAATTTTATGATTTTAAATTTTTTGTTTTTATAATATATATATATATATATATATAAATTGGTTATGACTATTGGAGGTCAGAACCATTGAAATGAAGCCAAATTTTTAAATTTTTTTTTAATTTCCTTCATTGGCTTTATTATTATTATTTAAAAAAAAATTAAAAAACCTAAAATATGTCTATAAATACTTCAAAATTCCTTCAAAAATTTTCCCACTCATTTCATTCCACATTTGTTACAAGTTCTATCACATTCTCCACTTATTCACAACTTTCCACTCTTTCTTTTTGTCAAATATTTTCCACACTCATTTCATCCAAACATTTCCTACAAATTTATTTTCTTTAGTTATTTTGTAATTCATATTATTTGAAAAATGTCCCGGGCTTTGAAGGGACGAAATTGGTCACGAGTGGAAGATGAACATCTTTGCAAGACTTTCTTAAAAGTCTTTGAAGAGCATTGTGGGTACTAACCAAAAAAGCAATGGGTTTTGGGAACGTATCTCATGAAAATACATAGAGGCATCGATCAATCCTTCCATTTACAAAGGAAGGAGATGAAGTTGTGAGATATTGAATCGAAAACACTCCATTTATTGACATTTGAAGATGAAGATAAGAGGTACCACATTGACAAAAATCTAATTGGAAATCTGGATAGTTGCTCTCAGACCTACATGTGTCACTCGAAAATCATATCCAAAAAGTTATTAAGATTCCTTCAGGATAAGATGTGCCACATGGACACAAAATCTTATCATAAATCTTATTAATGTTTATCAACATACATGTGTCAATATGGAATATTGTCTCTAAATAGTAGTTTAATTAAATTACACAATACATAGTTGTGAAATGTATGAGTATTGTACTATAGTTTTTTTGAAAATAATAAAATATGAAGGACCCTAAAATATAGCTCTGTATGACTGGAGATTGAAAAATTTAACCCTATAGCCTTGGACTACATTTAGCCTCATGACTGGAGACATGACAAGCATAAATAAAGTTTGAGATTTTTTTATGATAGCAACTCGTTTGCAACTGATTGGAAAAGAAGGATATATTCTCACTCAAAATCCAATACTCAATCCATTGCCCAAAATCTAACGATACAGTTTTTCGAGTACAAAGTGAAAATTGTGCAAAGTTGTCAATTTAAGAGTCAATGTCAAGATTATCAAGAGTATTTATTTGGGTCGAAGTTTTATTAAGTTTTCCAAGAGTAATCATTGACTTGGTGCAGCACCATTGATATCTGGGACAGTGGTGGAGCTAGTAGCTTTTCTTTTAGAGCACCTCCACCCCAAAAGGCAGGGGCAAGGCAAGGTTTGACACTATTCATGTGAATAGTGTCCCCTTCCCTTTTTTGGTTCCACCCCAAAGGGTAAGGGCAAACACTATTCACTTTACTTTATTTTCTGTTTTTTATACTTAACTATTAATTTTGATAGCTTTTCAGATAATATTTTTGGTTGCCACGTGTCACTATTTATTATAAAATTCTCACATAAAATTTCTGATAAAATTTTAGAATTAAATTTTCGAATAAGATTTTCGATTGCCACGTGTCTATCAAATTTCAAATAAAATTTTCGGATGAGATTTTCAGTTGCCACGAGTCTTATTTCATATAAGATTTTTGGATATTTATTTTAAAAAAAATTATAATCTCATATTTAAGATAAAATTTTCACCCTCTAAAATTGTCACGTGTCCCACGTCAGATAAGATTTTCATATATTTATTAAAAAATTATAATATCAGATTTCAGATAAGATTTTCACCCTCTAAAATTGCGCCACGTGTCATCTCTATCTTCTAAATCCCTCTATAAAACTAAACCCTCAACTCATACCTCTCACACCATATCTTCTCTATTATTTCATTTCTCAAATTTTACAAAACATATTCTACTCTCAATGTCTGACCTGAGGAGGGTGTTGGAGAGGCAAGAGTGAGAAGAGGAAGAAATCAGGCGCAAACGTGCTGAAGAAGATTGTGAGGCCGATGAAGAGGTGGAAGAAACGGTTGTAGCGGTGTGTATGCTCAATGAATCAAGGCAACACCACCATCGTCGTGCCCCGAATGTGGACAGTCATAGGCAGTCTCACGGTAAGAATCTCTTGGAAGATTACTTTATCCCAAATTCATTATATCATGTTTCTCATTTTCGAGAGAGATATAGAATGCAGCCTCATTTGTTCCAAAAAATCATACATGATATTTGTAATTACAACACATACTTCGTTTAGAAGTATGATGAGGTTTCGAGTCTTCTTCCGAAGCAAAAACTTACAGCTGCTTTGCGGATGCTTGCTTATGGGGCATCCGCAGAGCATTGGATGAGATTGCGCGGATGAGAAAATCAACTATCCTAGAGTGCTTGGTGAGATTCTGTGATGCAGTAGAAATCTCTACAAGAAGGAGTACCTTCTCAAACCTACGGCTAGGGACCTCCGAAGGCTTGTACAAAAGGCTGAGGCTCGAGGTTTCCTAAGAATGATTGGAAGCATCGATTGCATGCACTGGCAGTGGAAGAATTGCCAAACTACTTGGCAAGGAGATTATGGGAATTGAAAGGGCTAAAAAAGTATAATTTTGGAGGTCATAGCTTCATTCGACACTTGGATTTGGCATGCCTTCTTCGGAGTTGCAGGATCTTAGAATGACCTCAATGTGCTTGGTCAATCCCTAGTGTTCAACAATGTATTGCGAGGCCATTCTCCACAGATCACGTATCGAATCAACAATACCATATACTCGGGTGCGTACTACCTCGCTGACGGAATTTATCCGAGGTGGACGACATTGGTGAAAACAATTCCGAATCCCCAATCTGAGAAGGAAAAAAGCTTTGTAGCATTTCAAGAGGGTTATAGGAAAGACGTGGAAAGGTGTTTTGGTATCTTGCAAGCTCGTTGGGCAATTATTAGGGGTGTTACTCGGATGCTTTATGAGGAGATGCTGCGGAGCATTATGATGACTTGCATCATCCTCTATAACATGATTGTGGAGGATGAGTATGAGTATGATTATGATGCTTCAAAGGTGTTCGAACCTGATCCTATGAACACGGCGTTGACAAGAATTTATGAAAGGCAGATGGGACGAAATGGATGACCAATGGAGCACGAACCGTTAATTCAGGATGGTCGATACAACAACCCCATGATTGATCGTTATCAGGAAATGCAATCTTCATATTCTCATGAGAGACATCAAGTTGACTTGATCGAGCACTTGTGGGAGACGAAAGGCAATCATAGTGGATGAAGTCAAATGCTTTGTTTGGAATTATGCTTTGTTTTTAATTATGCTTTATTTTGTGTGTGGTGTGTTTGGAATTATGCTTTGTTTTTAATTATACTTTTAATTATGCTTTGTTTTGTGTATTGTTTGCAATAAATTAAGGTTTGTTTTAAATTAAACTTTGTTTTGATGTGCAAATGTTTTTAATAAATAGTCATATTATTTAATACTTTCTTTATTGAATAAAAGGGAAACAATACAACAAATTAATACATATGGCAAATCTTTCAATACAACCAAATGGTTGTGATCATTTAACCAATCCGTATTTTTAGGTCTGTTGTCATGGAAAAGTTTTCTTCTGATCATATCCCTTCGTTTTAGCTTCCAATAGGACTTTGTTTCAGGAGACATATGGCTCGTATCCATTACCATGATTTTCATCTCTCTATCCTCCATCTTGTTCTTGTGCCTGCTGCCTTTGAATTGCAAATGCTTCATGTCGTGCCTTGTCCGCTTATTCTCTTTTCAAGTCTCTCTCAATTCTCAGTGCGCCGTTCTTAACTATTTGCTCCAAAAATTGTGCACATTCATTGCTCGAAGTGCTCCCTTTCTTGGCCTTTGCCGCCTTTCTCCCAATAGGTCTCAGCACACGTGGGAGTGGTGTGTCTTGATCCATTGGGAAGTCCAATGGCGAATCGGTTGCCAGCGAATCATGGAGCGGTGTCTCATTCAACACAACCGGCGGACCGTTGAAAATAATTTTGAATCTCGAACAATTCTTCACAACTTCCCAACATTGGTGACTCAGGAAACTTTTTTTGCTTTGCCTCATGGTACCGAACCACATTTGTGCTTGTAGGATCTATTAAAATAAATAATTGGAAATGCAAGAACAAAAAATGAATATGGAAGAAAATATAAACAAATTGGAAATGCAAGGACAAAATGAATATGGAAGAAAATATAAATTGGAAATGCAAGAAAATATAAACATATCGGAAATGCAAGAAGAAAAAAAATGATTATGCAACAAAATATAAATAAATTGGAAATGCAAGAAGAAAAAAATGAATATGCAAGAAAAAAAATACATTAAATTGAATAAAACGGCAATTATAAATATTTTACCTCATCGGTAAGATTTTGATCGCTTCGAATGTTGTCCCTCGCTTTTGCCAAGGAATCTCTCCATTTCCCTAATTGTTTATTTAAAAATTTCCACCTACTGGCCAAGGCCATTTCTGTTCGAGGTGAACCTGATCTTTCAGCAAATTCTCCATGAATTTTTCTCCACATATGACAGAACTTCATCTCATTGCCCGTGACTAGGCAATGACTAACTTTCACCCAACACTCACACAACACAATATCTTTCTGAGTTGTCCACACGCCTCCACCTTCGACAGATGTGGCCATTTGTTTTTTGATACAAATGGAAAGTGGAAAAAAAATATGAGTAGAGAGTAAAAAAAAATTGGAAGAAAAATATGAGTGGAGAGTAAAAAATATTGGAAGAAAAATATGAGTGGATTCTAAAAAATATTGGAAGAACAATATGAGTGGGGAGTATAAAATATTGGAAGGAGAAGAGTTGTATGAAGATTTGGTGTGGAAAGTGAATAAATTTTTTAGGTATTTTATAGGGAAAAAATCCAGAAATTTTTGGTATTTTTTTTAAAAAATTTCGAATTTTTTAAAAACCAATCGGAGTGTCCAGGAAGCACCACGTCGCATCTTCCCGTTGGGAGCTGTCAAGGCTGACGTCAGCCAAGTCGGGAAATAGCCCAGTCAAGAACTGCCCTTGGGTTGCCTAGGCTGTAGGCTTGGCGTTGGAGGGTGGAACCTGGGCTTGGGGGGGCTACTGCCAGGGTTTGGGCTAGAGATGTACTTGCTCTTATGGGTAGGCTAGTACTATAAATTAATTGCTTTTTTATGGAGCTTCACGGGCGCAGAGGGGTGGCACCAAGGCCATTGCCTATCTATATGTGGCTCTTCCCCTGATCTAGGACATGCCAACAATGCCTAGGCAAGGAAAATATGTAGTGGAGTTGGACAAGACAAGTGTTTGTGCAAATTTCTCCGGGGAGAATATTCGCGGATGATCCTATTCACACTCAAACCTCTTCTTCCTCGATCCATGCAAAATAGATAAGTTCAACAAAGCACATCCGGGGAGTGTTGGCCAAAGACCCTCTGATGCCTAAGTCAGTTAAATAGTCTAGGGAAAATGCATAAATAATTGAAAGGATGGAGCTAGGGGCTACTAGAGAGAGAGAGAGAGAGAGAGAGAGAGAGAGAGGTTTTCTAGGGTTTTTGAATGGAATTAGGATTGCCTCATGTGTGGTGTGTAACCATCTATTTATAGTCTCCTTGTTGGGTAGGGTTTGTAGAGAATAATTCCACTAAGGAAATGAATTATTCTTTTCCTTAAATGACAGGATAATATCAAGGGAATTTTATGGAAATCGGATCCTTGATTTGGGGAAATATTTCTATCTTAAATAAAATATAATTGGCTAATTAAAACGGATTTAATTAGCACAATTATTTGACATGAGGAATATTTCTCTATCTACATATCACCTTGTGATTGGTTGCCAAAATTCAAGTTCCACAACAAGACAAGACAAAGAAAAATTCGATGTGTTGTTTGTTTGTTGTGGTAAGCAAGACATGAGTGGCTTTTGGAGAGGCCAAGTCTTTGACTTGGGCCGTGAGTAGCCTTGGCTCAGCAAGATCCAAGCCATGGCACGAGAAGCAAGACCCAGCATACATGAGTGTGGACTGTCTGTGGCAGCAAGCTTGGCAGAATCGGGCTTGGGCTGGATGTTGTGTGAGCTTGCAAGTAGGTCTAATTGGGCTTAAGGTTGCATGTGACATGATGTGAAGATGTTTGGGAATGGAAAAGTTGAAAGAGATGCTGATCATAGGCAAGTTGGTCTAATGGGGCTGAAGGTTACATGTGACATGATGTGAAGGTTTCAAAATGGAAAAGTTGAAAGAGATGTTGATCATAGGCAAGTAAATGGGGCTGAAGGTTGCATGTGACACGATGTGAAGGTTTGAGAATGGAAAAGTTGAAAGAGATGCTGATCATAGGCAAGTAAGTCTAATGGGGCTTGAAAGTAGGTCTAATGGATGGGGCTGAAGGTTGCATGTGACACGATGTGAAGGTTTGAGAATGGAAAAGTTGAAAGAGAAGCTGATCATAGACAAGTAGGTCTAATGGGGCTTGAAAGTAGGTCTAATGGGGCTTAAGGTTGCATGTGACATGATGTGAAGGTGTTTGGGAATGGAAATGTTGAAAGAGATGCTGATCATAGGCACTGGAAATAACTTCTACTACGACATGCACGACATCTTGGATTGAAAATACAACATTAAGTGTGTATCTCCTCTGTGTTTTATGAAGGAAGTTGAAGTTTTACTTTAAAATCATTTGGCAATAAGGAACTAGCTCAACTTCTTATAAGCTCTTACCAAGTTTCTTAACTTTCCAATGTACTTTTCACCTTCACATTCTCAGATTTTAAGAGTGAAGTTTAAAAATGGAAGACTTCATGTAAATTTATCTTAAATGATATCCTGTAGTTGAAATTTCATTGTTATTTTTATTTTGTAAGTGCTTGTAGACAAAATGAAGAGACGTCGGAGTACTCTCTTTTTCCTTCATGTAGGATTTTGTCCCACTAAATTTTCCCCAAACAAAGTTTTAACGATACATAGTCTAGACTTTTGTCAAGACCGGTTATATTGGATATATATGATGATAAAATAGATATCATTTATATTAATTGAATTTGAGAAAAATAGACGTCTAAAACAGATCATTTATATGAATTGAATCCAAAAACTAAACAAGATCTGAAAACAAAATATGTATAGAAAAGAAAGAAAAAAAGGAAACCAAAAGCTAGCTTCCTTTCTCAAAAAGGAGATAGCTTTTCTTAATTCATTGATTGTCTACATCAAAAAATTAATCGTTTCACACTCCACGAGCACCTACCCAAAAGAACTGAACAGGTGTACACATTGAAGCCGCGCGAAAAAGACCTTTCACATAATTTCTCTTTGGCATGTACTGGATACAGGTAAGAAAATTAAAGTATGGCAAACAAGCTTGGTTCATAAGAATTAATAAATAATGAGTTTGTGTCCCAACTAACCCGTACGTACTTGGAAAAACGACAATATCAAACAAAAGGTGGTGCAACAATTGCATTGACCCCAGGTGGGATTCTGCTGTGAATCACTGAATCACAACCAAACGACAACAGAAAATGATAAAAGGGCCACAGAGTTAGGTACAGGTACTCGTTTCTACAGAGTGATATCCAATACCAGCGTGACACCTGTCTGGTTGGTACTAGTTGTACAGCACCGTCACAGCAGGACCTGTAAATCGAGACGTGTTTATCTTGAAATAATAACCTATACCTACCTGCAAATAATAAGGAAGGTATACGCGTATGGTTCTAACATTTCACATATTTATTTAATAAAATCTTAATATTTTTATGATTTTTTTTCTCTGCTTCAAGGCAGCTTCGTCATCTGTTTCTGCGTATTTTATTCTCTATATATATCTCACGTATAAAAAAACACAGCTAGTTATATACACATAGTTTCAAAGCTGAAGAACATCAGGCCTCTCTCAGCCACTGGTGTGTGTTTCACTCTCAGCAGCACACAGAAATCAAAATGGCATCTGAAGCAGTTCGTGATCAGAACAATCGTAACGAAGAAGAAAATGGAGATCGTGGTTTCTGTGGGAAGTTGATGAACAAGGTGGTGGAATTTCCTAGAAAGTTAAAGAAACTAGGGCAAGATGATCCCAGAAGGATCGTTCATTCTATTAAAGTAGGACTTGCAGTTCTTTTGGTGTCATTGCTTTATTACTTCAAGCCTCTCTATGATGGGCTTGGTGCCACTGCCATGTGGGCTGTTTTGACTGTTGTTGTTGTCTTCGAATTTTCTGTAGGTATGTCTTCGAATCATGATTTTGTTTTAATTAAATGTTTTTAAAGTTGATATAAATATATTTATTTATCTTTTTTGTTTTTGTGTTTGCATAATGCAGGGGCGACACTAGGAAGAGGTTTAAACAGGATTTTGGCAACATTCCTAGCAGGTGCTCTAGGATTTGGTGCTCATCACCTGGCAAATCTTTCTGGAGAAACAGCTCATCCAATACTCATTGGGGTCTTTGTCTTTCTACTAGGTAAAATTACTCTACCTGAAAAAAGAAATAAAAATATTTACAAGCTTTTTTCAACCAACTTTATCATCACATAAATTACAACTAATATTAATGAATTGGGAATTAATAGAATTTATTCATGTGCAGCTGCATCAGTGACATTTCTACGCTTCTTTCCGCGGTTGAAGGCGCGATACGACTATGGACTTCTGATTTTTATCTTGACATTCTGTCTGATATCCGTGTCGGGATACAGAGATGAGGAGATACTAGAAATGGCCTACAAGAGGGTGTCCACAATCCTGATGGGCGCATTTACAGCTGTGTCTGTGTGTGTTTTCATTTGCCCTGTATGGGCTGGTGATGATCTGCACAACTCTGTTGCTAACAACATTAAGAAACTTGGGAGCTTCTTGGAAGGTAACATTACTCACATGCACTACATGCCTGGAATTTTCATTACTTATGTGACTGGAAAAACTCACTATAATTTTTTAAAAACTTGCAGGTTTTGGGGATGAATACTTTAAAGTAGCCGGTAATAAAGAGTCTAATAAGGCACTTTTGCAAGGATATTCTAGTGTTCTCAACTCAAAACAAAGTGAAGAAAGTCAGGTATTGAGTCTCTCTTAATTATCCCCACAACAACCAAATTACAAGTTTTTTTTTAAGTAAAATGTAATTACAAATGATATTTGCCTAGTATTTGATATGCGCTGTGTTAGACTATGAATTAGAACCGCTCATTTAGACATAAATTTTATACAATTTATGAATCTAATTCATAGCGTAGCAAAATAACATCTCAGATTGTTTGACTAGACAAAATTACTACTCATAGACTGATAACACTATACCTTGGTGTTTTGCAGGCAAATTTTGCAAGGTGGGAGCCTAGACATGGAAAGTTTAGATACCGTCATCCATGGAAACATTATCTGAAAATCGGTACCCTAACCCGACAATGCGCATACCGGATCGACACTCTTAACGGTTACCTCAACTCAGAAATTCAGGTATTGTACACCAGATCATTTAAGACTATTACAAACAAAGACACAATGAAAAATATGTAAATATTAACAATGATTTTGTTATTATACAGACACCTCTAAACATCCAGAGCAACAAAGTTCAAGAGCTATGCATGAAGATGAGCTCAGAATCAGGCAAGGCCTTGAAAGAGCTAGCTTGGGCCCTTAAAACAATGACCAAGCCATGCTCTGCCGCCAGCTGCCACATCACAAAATCAAGAGCTGCAGCCAATAACCTCAAATCTCTGCTCAAAACCAACGCAGCATTGTTGGGCAGCGAAGGCATTCACCTCCTGGACATCGTACCTGCTGTCACTGTAGCCTCGCTCCTAAGCGACGTCGTTTCGTACGCTGAGCAAATCGAGAATTCAATCCAGGAGCTGTCCTCGTTTTCGCATGTGCAGTTCAAGAGCGCAGAGCCAACAAAAGCATTGCAGCCGTGTAATTCTTCTGCGAATTCCACCAATGATAACGTGCCACATCTTGTCATCACGATTCCTAAAATGCCTTCTCAGCAGGAAATTGGAAGCAAACAAGGGGCTGCCAATTAATTAAGGAGCTCCATTTGATCTGACCGTCCATCGAAACCGAGAGATCCTCAGCCGTTAAGATCTCGCTAATCGCAAAGCCCCTTCAGGTTTCGCTCACTCTGCCCCAACGCCTGAACTTGTCGCCACCTTCACGGAACCTTAGCTGTTGTTCGTGCCACCTCGGCACAGGCGTCTCCCGGCTTACATCTCACTCGCCGGGGTGACAAGCGGTGCGGTAACATCTCCGACTCCGACCAACATAAACGGTGTCGCCTCTGGGGATATTTAGTTGTTTGCAATATTACAAGGGCATCGTTTATTATCACTATTTTTATGTTTTTTTCTTATCATGGAGAGGATAAACAAAACTGTGCTCTTATGTCAGTTGTAGCATTAACAGAGTAAACAAAATTATGCTCTTATTATTTGATGAACAAGAAATACATATTTTTGCATTCATGTTGGCCATACTTGAATTTTAGCCTCTACCCTTATTTGCTCTTTCTTCGCTTGTTGAGTTGTCCTTGTTGTGTGTCTTAGGGACACAAATTCAATCGGCACGTCCATATTCGCATATTACACAAAAAGTCACACCAACGTGAAACTTACAAGTCACAACCACACAGCAACCAAACATTTCCAATTAAAATTCAACACTATCTCAATCATGGCACAATCTTGTGAGCTTTCATTTTAACAATCCAAGAAACAAAGGAATATGGAGTTTCTATATCCACAAAACCCATGCTCCTTACTCTTCTTCATGAGACAACTCAGCTCCCCCACCTAATACAACCTCCACAAACCTCCCAGAGCCCAGCTTCCCCACAAGCCACTTAGTACCTCCCATGTACCTATACCAACAAGCCACCAAGCTCTTAGTGGAAAACTAGTTCTCGATTGGGAACTTTAAATAAAACCATTATTAGCGGAGGCGATCAACTTGTATCTTTGAGGGAAGGAGCTTTTGTTTCTTGGAGAACAATCGCGCAAGTTTCTCAGGTTGGCACGTGATGCGAAGTTGAGCATGAAAGCGAATCAACTAGCAGTGCAAGAGGGACAGAGAGCTAACTGTGTCTGGCAGGCATAGAGTTGCCCGTGCAAGGTTGGCATAGAGCTATTCGTGTCGAGTAGAACTTATTGAATCGTGTAGGTCTTTTTGGATCAGATTTGACCTTTAGGATTAGGTAGGACCTATTGAATTGGGAAGGACCTTGTGGATCAGGTTGGCTAGGGTATATACCAACTCTCTATTCAAAGGTTGCGCCTTGGGTGAGGAGTTTCATTAGCCTTCATACCAAGCCAATTCGTGTTCAATTTATTCGTACCTTGCTTCTGTGTGGAGTGTAGAAGTACCCTAACGTGGATGTTGACCATGCAAGTAGTCGGGTCAATCATCTAGCATGAAGATGGTGAGGCTAAGTTGAGCTAAGCACAATATGGTAGGGTCGAGCCGAGCAGACCCACACGGAGATATAAGCTGTCTCTCAGACCATAATTGGACAAGGTGGAGATGGTGAGGCCGAGCCAAGCTTTTGGAGAGCCAATCTAGGTGAGAAGTAAGGAGATTCTTTCACTGAACCCATGGCGGCGCATTTATAAATGATGGCAGCACTTGGAGTTTTTGGATATTAATACATATATATATATATATATATTTCTACTCGTTTAGTGGCTTTGGATATTCAAGTGCTTGTTTGGAATGTAGCTTGAAGGCCATTGTAGATATGACTGAGTGTGAGGGTGTTTTCCGAGGTCGAATGGTGGTGTAATGAAATTCGAGCTCCTCGAGCTTAGAGAGAGAGACAGAGACAGAGAGAGAAGCGAGTCGTTTCCCCATAGGTTGGTCGTCATTTCATTGGGTGGTCTGAGTCGAGCCATTTCTTCAATTGGGGGAATTCAGTCTCATAGATGCATTGCTGGCGGTTCTCTTTTGATTGTTAATCAGTAGTGATGAGACTTTATCTGGTGGTTAAAAATATCCTAGAGATCTTTTGGAGAGGAGAGAAAGGAAGTCAACTCCTTTTCAGGATTGAGCTGACCCGTTTCTCATTATGCTCTGTTTCAACTTGGGGGAGCAGTGGTCGAAGTACAAGCCAAACAATTCCTACTTTGTTTGTTTTGCTTGCAGCCCCTGTTTTAATAGGACAAAGGGTTGGTCATGCAAGGTGGTCGGGGTGGTCGTGCGATGTGGAGATTGAGCATGTGAGGTGCTTGGGTGGGCTATGACGTGGAGATTGAGCATACGAAGTTCTCGTGTAGGTCGTGCTACGTGGAGATTAAGCATGCGAGGTTCTCAAGTAGGTCATGCAATGTTGAGATTAAGCTCATCGTTGCGATTAATACACCATGCATGCAAGGTGGTCAAGTCGGTCAGGCATATAAGGTGATGTGGTTGGTCATGCATGCTAGGTGGCCAGGTCAATATTTCAACGTGATGAATGACCATGCAATGTGCTTAGGTCTGTTATGCAACGTGGTTGATGAACATGTAAGGTGCTCACCTAGTCAGCTTGGTCACGCTTAAAAGGTGAACATGTCATTCATTTCACCTGAGATAGTCACTTGGCTCATCCTTGCGAGTAATACACCATGCATACAAGGTGAGCGAGTCGGTCATTCGACTGGTGAATGACCAGGTGGCTGGTTCAAGGTCGACACCTCAAGGTGGTCAACTCGGGCATGTGAGTAGGCCCCATGCATGCAAGGTAAGGAGCTTGATTCCTGGCACATATATTGGTGTAACATCGAGCTGAGCTAAGTTGAGCAGAAGATGCAACCTATTGCGCTTCTTAGGGTCAGTTTTACTTGGACTACGGACGTTGTTTCTGGCGGAGACAAGCTTCATGGTGGAGAGAAGGGATTCACCTTGCACGAAAGAGTAATGAGAATGACATAAACCTTTTGAGTTAGTTCTCACAAATAGTGCCAACCGTTAACAGGTGATTTAGCATGGGTCTTAGAGGGTATCTGGACAATCACACACATTACACAGATTTAGAGAGCTTCACCCATGAATAGGGCTATGTCCATTGTAGAGCTTGGTATTTGTATTTCACTATGATGGAGTATTACAATATACATAGAGATAGGCTAAATAGCCAAAGAATATAATAAGGGAAAGCATGTTGAATGACTCTCATAAGCTCATAGAAAGGAGAATAGGAGAGTCATTTGCTAGAAAGGGGTCTTTTCCCTTATACAGGCAAGAGATAAGAGCCACTTTCCATTGTTTAATGGGCAAGTGGCAAGGGCGTGCTTCTTCCTTAGTGGAGCATGAGCTAGGCACGTGGGTCAGTCTTCTTAGTACTTGTGCCATGTGGAGGACAAGACTAAGTGGTTCATCTAGTTGTGTGTAAGGCCAGCATGGAGAAGCATGTGGATTCGGGCCAAGTAGGACTCGGCTAGGACATAGTGTATTGGGTAGTGCCTTATGGTCTAACAAAAAATAGTGAATCGGATAGGTGAGGTCAGTTGGGTGCCGATCAGGTACCTCTTATACCAGCTCAGGTATGTTAGGTCAGCTGGTGTTGATTAGATACCTCAACTGGGCTAAGCGGTTGAGGTCAACTTGTGTCGACCAGGTACAACAGCTTGGCTAGGTAGTGTTAGATTTCTTTAATACACAAACAAGATCTTTCACAAAAACTGTAATATGTATAAAGACATGAAGACATACCTGGAGCCATCTTCCTTGAATACACAGCTTCTGAATTCATCCAATCCGTAACAGCAGCAATCCTAGCAAAGCTCAAGACTTCTGCTCTCTCTCTCTCTCTCTCTCTCTCTCTCAGAATCTATTTCAGCTCTCTCTTTATAATGAGAATAGGTTTAGAGAATGTATCTGATGAGAGCAGGGCCTTTAGCTTATATAGGGCTAGGTCAAGTCGTCTCTACTCATCACCGAGGGCAGACTTGACTTATCTTCCAAGCCCACTTAATCGGTTTACGCATAAATGGAAATATAATAGGACTCCTTAATAGGCCTCAAAACCCTTTCTTATTTCACTAGGTTTTGGGCCACAAGGTACAACTTAATTTAAACTCTTATCAAACCTGATATAACTTAGTATCTAGTGCACCGATCTAAATAGGAAAACATAACATTCTCCCACTAGATCAAGCACTAGAACACTAAGCTTCTATATTCCGAAAAGTTTGATAATCTTTATTGGCCATGAGTTTAAAACAGTTAAGTCCTTCCCCTCAAGCTACCGTGAAAAGTGATTAGACAAAACGAACTATAGACAAACACTACTCTATTTATTAAAAACAGGTCATCTATAATCACATAATGCAATCTCAAAACACATGAAGCACCTACAACATGAACCTTAATATGTACTAATCCTTAGTGTGAATCTTTATGCATTTCAGTACAAGTACCCCTTTACGACTTAGCAAGAGTCAATCCGTAATGTTATTAAAAACAATAGTATCTCAAAAGAGACCATTAACTCACATGCATAAACAAAGTTGCATAATAAGTTTAAACAGCTAAATAGTCAAAATGGTAGAATTTATTCAATAATAAATAAAACTGTCAACCAAATTGACATCCTTAAATGAAAATCCCTCAATCCAGAAAAACAGCAAAATAAACAAACCAAACAAACTAGTAAAAATATCATAATGAGAACAAGACTCCCACTAGATTGCAGAATCAAAGCTAGGGAAAAGTCCCATGCTATCAACATGTCTTAGAAAAGCTTCTGACGGCAAAACTTTGTGAACATATCTGCAATCATATCTTGAGTTCTGATGTGATCAAACCTGACTAGTTTGTCCGCTACCTTCTCCCTCACTATTAAATACTTTCTGTCAATATGCTGAAGTCCAGACGACATCTTGTTGTTCATGCAGTGAAAAACAGTCGCAGTGTTGTCATTATATATCTGTAATGATCTAGAAATTGAGTTCACCACCTTAATGTCTTTAATAAAATTTCTTAGCCATACTGCATGAGATGTGGCTTCATAGCAAGCTATGTATTCTGAAAACATGGTTGAACTCGAAATGTGCATATGTAAATCTCCCCATGTTGCTAATGCACAAGGCTAAGTCTCGCCTTGTACACACTTGTGCATACATAATGCTTCCAACTAGAGAAGCGTATGGCTTGTTCCTCATCTCATCTTCTTTTTATTTATTCTTGGGGCAATGCTCATTCTTTAAATCTCCTTTAGCTATTGGAACTTTCTATACAGAACACATACTCATGTCAAAACACTTGAGCACCCTCTCAATGCCCTCTCAATGTATGTCTTCTGTGATAGGCCTAGAAGGCCTCAAGCTCGACCTTTCTGAATCTCAATGCCCAGTTTCTCCCAAATCCTTCATCTCAAAATTATTTGAAAGTAGCTCCTTGGTGTCAGTCAGTAAATTGCAGTAATTTGTATCCAAAAGTATGTCGTCGATATACAGCACCAGAAAAATAAATCGACTCCCACATTTCTTCAGATAAATGCACTGGTCAGCTATGTTCTCTTCAAAACCATAAGAGGAAACAGTTTGGTGAAATTTGAAATACCACCTCCTGCTTGCTTGCTTCATTCCATAAATTACCTTGCCAAGTTTGCAAACTATATGCTCTTTTCCCTCATTTGCAAACTCTTTAGGTTGCCTCATAAAATTTTCCTTTCAAGTTCTCCATTCATGGAAGTAGTTTTACATCCATTGGATGTAAAAGTAGGTCATAATGGCCCACCAAAACCATAATTATGCGGAGAAAATCTTTGGTGGAAACTGGAGAAAACGTCTCAGTATAATCAATTCCCTCCCTTTAGGTAAATCCTTTTAAACCTTTCGATTCTTTCATCCTTATCTTTCTTTGTTTTGAATACCCATTTCGAGCCTACCAATTTCTGGCTCTTGTGGGGTTCAACTAATTCCCATACTTGATTATTCTTCATGCTTTCAAGTTCATTCAACATCGCTTCCCTCCATTTGTTTGCATTCTGACTCTCCATTGCTTTTTTAAAACTTGTTGGATCAGCCTCATCTCCAATGTCAAAACCTGCTTCTTGTAAGTACATAATCTGAATTTGCTGTGGATCTTCTTGGTTTGTCAGATCTCCTCGGTTGTAAAGTTTCTTGTGGATCATCCAGGTCAGGATTCTCAACAGCTTGTTCTTGTGGTTCAACTGGTTCTTCAAATTGAGAATTTTCCAATACAGTTTCACTTAAAGGAATCAAGGGTGTAACATCTTATTCAGCATTCTCAATCACAGCTACATCACCTTCTTCTTCAAAAAAATAAAATCTTCATTCCCAGTGGCATTCTCCTCATGCTATATAAACTTTGCACAACTAGTCTCAACAATTCGAGTATCATAATTTGGACAATAAAATCTAAAAACCCTTTGACCTTATGGGATAACCTATAAAATGACAGCTTATCGTTTTAGGATCAAGCTTCTTCTCTTGAGAGTTATAGATTCTAACTTCAGCCTTGCAACCCCATACATGAAGATGTCTTAGGCTAGGTTTTATGGTAGTCTAAATTTTGAAAAGGTGTCTTAGGTACGGAGTTACTAGGCACTCCATAGTTTGTTGTTTTGATACCCTCTCTCAAAATCGTAGGCAAATCAGTTCTAGAAATCCTGCTAAGAACCATGTCCTTCAAGGTTCGATCCCTTTTCTCAACCACACCATTCTGTTGCTGAATTCATGGCGTTGTGTACTGAGCAACTATTCCATTATCTTGTAGATACCTAGCAAAAAGTCCAGCGTCGTCCTCCTTCATCAAAATGTCCATAATATTCACCCCCTCTGACTGACCTCACAATTTTGATCCTTTTCTCAAGCTGTCTTTCTACTTCAGTTTGGAAAATCTTAAACATTTCAAGAGCTTGAGACTTTTTTCTGCTATGAGATACAGATAACCAAAACGAGAATGGTCACCTATAAAGGTGATAAAAAAGCGATTTCCATCAATTGTTTTATGAGGGAAAGGTCCACAAAAACTGTGTGGATGATCTCTAAAAAGGATCACTACCGCGAGTTGCACCTTTCTGTTGACACACTCAATACAAATTTCGTCATCACTGAAAGTCAATGATGGCAAGATTTGTTCCTTAACTAAATTTTCATTCTTTCTTTTGAAATGTGCCCTAAACACCTATGCCATTCAAACTTCACTATCTTTATTGTAATTGAGACAATAAAATCCATCTTTATTATCTTTGAATTTTGAGATACAAAAAACATCTTTATTGAAACCAAAATAAAACCAAGTCTTAATAATCTTGAAGCAGAAATTGAATTTCTCTTTATTTAAGGTACTGAAAATTACATCATCCAACTCTAAAATAATCATGAATCCAACTTAAAAACAACAGGTAACTATCTAAACCTCATCGTCACAACATGCCGCCGCCGCCATGAAAGTGTTGTTCTCCTTAGCAGGGAATTGGTCAAGTACCACTATCTCCCTATTAGTGGTGGCATAAAAAATCTCAACAGGTGATTCAGGTTGGGCCGATGGTTTCACAGACTGCACTAGGAGATTCTTGTATCGAAGTAGCTTATTGATGTTTCGTCCTTTCCCATAAGAGCATACGCCGAGCTTCATAGCGATCCTAACACTTCTGAGATTGTCCTTTGTAGTCGTGTATATCCTTATAGGTCCTCTATATGGTCAACGATTTCGCTGCGCTTTGACCCTTGTTTGCTCTAGCTCATCTTCGTGACGCTTCTTAATTAACTCCACTATATTCTTTACTAGAATGTCATTCGTGACAAGTTGGCACGAGTGACACCTATTGAACGCCAGATGTTTTTCCTTTTCCCTAAGCTCTAGGAGTTGTACTACAAGATACATAAGCGAAAAGGCTAACTTGAATTAAATATAGCCATGAGTGAGATCATAAGCAATCTCATTCATTCTGACAATAACTTCAAAATCAAATGTCCGTAAATTGAAGTTTGATCTAGTGAATCTTTCAATTTGCAAGAAATTGATTGAGGGAGTGTTTAAAGCTGTATGGATTTGCAAAACGAAAACATATTACTTTCCTAGAAACCGATTCTCAATTTGTTAAGAGAAAACAGTTTAATTATATTCACAAAACTAACAAATAATATATGCAAGCGTCCTTAATTAAGTATGACACCTTTGTGGCAAGAGATTACTTATAGCTTACACAAATTACATGTTATCTTGTGTCATCACAAATAAATTACATGACAGATTCTATTTGTTAAAGAAACTTATCAAGCAATTTAGGTATGATGCAATTTTCGGTTATTTCTTTAGGGTTTGAGTATTTAGGCTTGGTTTTGTTATGAAAAGTTTGTTGATTCTCAGAACAAAGACAAACATCTATCTGGCTTAGAAAAATAACCAAACAAAACACAGTTCAATAAGAAAAATCCTAAAATTGCAATGAATAGTATTTTAGGCGTGAACAGTGTTTCTGCCGTGAACAGTGTTTTAGGGTTTCTTAGTGTCTGTTTTTTACCTAAAATACATTTCTGAATATGGAATGACCTAATTAACATAACTCACAGTAAGGCTATGACATATGGACATTTTTAGGGTTTTAAAGTAATTTGCTAGGTCAAAAACGTGTTTAAACTTTTGAAAATATGAAAAACCAAATCAAAACATGCTTTTCCAGATTCTTTAAAATTCTTGATATTCTAGAAAACATGTTTAAACCATCTTCAAAAATTAAACATAACCAAATAACTGAACATGGCATAAACAGATATGAAATCATGGTAGACATGCTTGAACAACGATTACAGATATGTGTGAACAACTTTAAGCTCTGATACCAACTGTTAGATTTCCTCAATACACAAACAAGATCTTTCACACAAACTGTAATACGTATAAAGACATGAAGACATACCTGGAGCCATCTTCCTTGAATACACAGCTTCTGAATTCATCTAATCCATAGCAGCAGCAATCCCAGCAAAGATAGGAACGGCTCAAGACTTCTTCTCACTCTCAGAATCTGTTTCAGCTCTCTCTTTATGATGAGAATAGGTTTAGAGAATGTGTCTGATGAGAGCAATGCCTTTAGCTTATATAGGGCTAGGTCAAGTCGTCTCTACTCATCACCGAGGGCAGACTTGACTTATCTTCCAAGCCCACTTAATTGATTCACGCATAAATGGAAATATAATAGGACTCCTTAATAGACCTTAAAACCCTTCCTTATTTCACTAGGTTTTGGGCCACAAGGTACAACTTAATTTAAACTCTTATCAAACCTAATATGACTTAGTATCTAGTGCACCGATCTAAATAGGAAAACATAACAGGTAGGTGAGGCCACTCGGTGCCTCCTAGGTATTATACCAATAAGCCCTCAAGTTCTTAGTTGAGAAGAGTTCTTGACAGGGAAGAGAAAAATTTTGAATAAATAAACGTGAAATCTACATAGAACAAAATTAAATTATAAGTTGAGAAACTAAGAAAGGACATATGCCAAATAAGGAGAATTAAAGCTTATGGATAATTATTAAATAGAGATACATCATTAAGGGAATTTTAGGAGGCAACAAGTTTATGTAAAGCAGAAATCAAATTGAATATTACAAAGTCTCCTTCAAACATTTAATCGAACACATGGTGCACCAGCAAAGGGTCAAATTCCGACCACCCCAATGGATTTTTTGATGAGGGGAGGTGTAGTGCACCTCCTTGCTCATGTGTAGGTCTGCCAGCAAATGTATATTATGTGACACACTATATGCTAATTCACTAGAGATATACCTTCCTTTTGTCTTTCTTTAACCATGGTGGGACTTCATTGTCTCTCTTCAACTGTGGTGGGACAAGTTGGAGGTGGTAGTGATGGCGACATACATGGTGTCTCCCAAGCCCCTAAATACTTAGTGGATAACTAGTTCTCGACTAGGAACTTTAAGTAAAACCATTATTAGTGAAGGCGATCAACTTGTGTTCTTGAAGGGGAGGGCTTTTGTAAATTGGAGAATCAATCACGCAAGTTTCTTGGGTCGGCACATGATGCGGGGTTAAGCATGAAGGCGAATGAGCTACCCATGCAAGGTTGGCATAGAGTTATCCGTGTCGGGTAGAACCTATTTAATCGTATAGGTCCTTTTGGATCAGGTATGACCTTTTGAATTGGAAAGGATCTTTTGGATCAAGTCATCTAGGGTATATACCAACTATTTATTCAAAGGTGACGCCTTGGGTGGGGAGTTGCATCAGTTTTCATATTGAGCCAATTCGTGTCTGATTCATTCATACCTTGAATGTGTCTGGAGTCGTAGGAGTCCCCTAACTTGGAGGTTGACCATGCAAGAAGTCGGGTCAGTCATCTAAGGCGGAGATGGTGAGGCCGAACCGAACACATGATGGTGGGATCGAGTCAAGCACACCCACATGGAGATATAAGCTCTCTCTTAGACCATGGTGGGACAAGGTTGAGATGGTGAAACCGAGCCGAGCTGTTAAAGAACCGATCTGGGTAAGAAGTAAGAAGATTGTTTCACTAGACCCGTGGCGGCGCGTTTATTGGTGATGACAGCACTTAGAGTTTGTGGAGATCCACACACACACACACATATATATATATATATATATCGTTTAGTGGCTTTGATGATTCAAGTGCTCACTTGGTATATATCTTAGCCGACCTGATTCAAAAGGTCATTCCCGATTCAATAGGTCCTACCCGACAAGGATAGCTCTATGCCAACCTTGCACGGGTAACTCTATGCCTATCGGCACAGTTAGCTCTCCGCCCACCTTGCACAAGTAGCTCATTCACCTTCATGCTTAACTCCGCATCACATGCCAACTCGAGAAACTTGTGTGATTGATTCTTCAGCTGGGGGAATTCAGTCTTACAGATACATTGTTGGTGGTTCTCTTTTGATTGCTCATCGGTAACGATAAGACCTTATCTAGTGGTTAAAAATATCTCACATGATGGTGAGATCTTTTGGGGAGGACAGAAATAAAGCTGCCCCCTTTTTAAGACCAAGTCAACTTGTTTCTCATTATGCTTTATTTCTCCTTAGGGGAACACTGGTCAGAGTACGAGTCAAATCATTCCTACTTTGTTTGTTTGCTTGCTGCCCCCATTTTTAGAGGAGAAAGGGTTGGTTGTGCAACTTGGTGGATGGCCATGCAAGGTGGTCGGGTCAGTCGTGCAACATGGAGATTCAGCATGCGAGGTGCTTCGGTTAGCTACGATGTGGAGATTGAGCATGTAAGGTTCTCGGGTCGATCATGCAATGTGGAAATTGAGCATACAAGGTGCTTGGGTCGGCTACGACGTGGAGATTGAGCATGCGAGGTGGTCATCTGGCTCATCCCTTCGAGTAATACACCATGCATGCAAGGTGGTCAGGACAGTCACTCATGCAAGGTGGTCATCTGTCTCATCCTTGCGAGTAATACGCCACTCATGCAACGTGAGCGAGTCGGTCATTAGACGTGGTGGATAACCATGCAAGGTGGTCGGGTCGATCAGTCGTTCAACGTGATGGATGGCTATGGAATGTAATCAGGTCCATCATGCAACATGGTTGATGACTAGTACTCGGGCCTGTCATGTGACATGGTTGATGATCATGCAAGGTGGTCAGCTCGGTCGTTCAATATGATGGATGGCCATGCAATGTGCTCGGATCCGTCGTACACGATAGGGGTGTACATCCGTTCGAAACCAATACAATTTAGTCAATGCGCATCCAATCCAATATAGATTGGCTTGTGATTTTTTTCAATCCAATCCAATCTGATCCAATTGATATTAGATTGGATGATTGGTTTTGATAATGGAAAAAGACTAATGAAATATTAAACATTTATCCTTAGGTTTAATCTAACCAAACATATTAATAGACATAAATGTAAAATATAAATGAACTACTAGAGAAAATTGTTTTGATTATATAATACATTAAACATAACTCCATTAAATGACTTAAAATATTCATAACTTTTCAACTATAAATACCCACAAGAGCAAAATAAACATAAAACTAACTAGTACCCCAAGAGGTGCTAATAAAGTGGCACATTCCTTGGCTCAGTTTGCGATTAGTTGTAGTGAATTTGTTTCTTGGATTGAGGAAGCACCATTATGGTTGCTTCCTGTGCTTCAGGCAGATGTACCCTCTTTTGAAAGTTGAATGAAATTTCGTTTCTCAAAAAATAAAAATAAAAATAAAACATAAAACATAAAACTAACTAGATTGGATTGGATTTGAATGGATTCTAATGAGCAAATATGTCATCCGATCCAAATATGTCAGTTTTCAAAATTACGAATCCAATCTAATCCTTCAAATCATTGAAACTTATTAAAATTGAATTAGATTGCATTGGATCAATTGATTTAGGGAGATTAGATTGAATCTTGTACACCCCTAAGAACACAGTAATCCAACACCTCTAAGTCTCTAGCGTTATCTTCGCAATTGACTTGTTTCATTGTTCATAGTGGCCTAAACCATGAGACAAATCTTTTGACCAAAAAAGAACCATGAGACAAATCTTGTCACCCCTTTAGTTGTGCAATCTTTGGAATCAACCTGTAAAATCCGTACAAATACCATGTACACCTTAGCAGAAATCACATTTTACTGGTGTTGTAAATCGGCTTGATACAATTTGAGTTCGACTTATGTTAGGCTTGTTTTTGGCTCATTCGAGCTCAATTTGTAAAAAAGAAAAAATGAGCATAGCTCGAGTTTACCACAAGATTACACATACGTAGTATGATTCAATCTATTTGGCTATTTGTACGTTGTTTTAAGACTCCCATTAGGGTACTGTGACCAGTAATAACATTTTCTTAGTGGATCTATTCGACTCTATATTCACTTTGAATTCGGTGGAAATCAATAATATTCTTAGAAAGAAAGATAAAAATGTAACACAAAATGTAGATGGAAACTTGATGAAAAGCCCAACAAAAGGCGCGGAAAAAAAAAAAAAAAAAAAAAAAAAAAAAAAAAAAAAAAAAAAAAAAAAAAAAAAAAAAAAAAAAAAAAAAAAAAAAAAAAAAAAAAAAAAAAAAAAAAAAAAAAAAAAAAAAAAAAAAAAAAAAAAAAAAAAAAAAAAAAAAAAAAAAAAAAAAAAAAAAAAAAAAAAAAAAAAAAAAAAAAAAAAAAAAAAAAAAAAAAAAAAAAAAAAAAAAAAAAAAAAAAAAAAAAAAAAAAAAAAAAAAAAAAAAAAAAAAAAAAAAAAAAAAAAAAAAAAAAAAAAAAAAAAAAAAAAAAAAAAAAAAAAAAAAAAAAAAAAAAAAAAAAAAAAAAAAAAAAAAAAAAAAAAAAAAAAAAAAAAAAAAAAAAAAAAAAAAAAAAAAAAAAAAGGGGTAAGTTATAAGGGGTTCACTTTATAGTCATTGGATCAATCGAAGGGCTGGGGAGAATTGGGATAAAGTTGTGCAATCGGGTAGGTGAGGAACCCAAACCCGAATTTAATATCCAGCAATGAAGTTGGTCCCAACAAAAAAAAAGAGAGGCAAGTTCGAAGTTTGAACAGAAAAAAACCCATTGATCTCAAACTCATAGCTGAGAGAAACCGCTAAGCTCTGAGAAACGGTTGAAGGCAACGGGCAACGACGGTTGAAGGCAAAGGTTAACGACGGTTGAACGCAACTCCACTATCTAAACCGTGAAAAAGTATTTATTTTGAGTGGAAGGAGCAAAGGCGTGGATTCTGAAACAGTGAAGACGAAGCAGTGGAAGGGGAAGGAGAGAAGCCGTATTCGTTGGAAGTGATAGGTTCCATTTGTGGAGCAAAGCCGCACAAAGACCCAACACAGACACCTTGCGATTGTTCAATAACCAGCATTTGGTGAGTAATTTATGGAATTTGAGTTTAGGGTTAGAGTAACCGTTTTCCCCAATTTGTAGCATGAATGTTGTTAGATTTGGCATCTCTTCTTTGTGCTTCACTTGCATGTTAATTTTTGCTTGGGTATATGTTAAAAAACGAATGAATATAAAGTCAATAACATGTCAATAACATGTCAATAATGATATGAATAAGGTAATGGTGTTGAATTGGAGGAGGCCCTCAAAACCTTCCACATTTGAAGCAGTGCAGAGTGCAGATTATCTCTCTGGAGCTAGAATATATATAATTTTTGAAATAAATATTATTTCCGTTGTTACTAAATTTGCCTGTTAAAAATGAGAACAGATAATAATAAACTCATGAATAAAAGTGCAAAGCATTTGAAAAAAGGTTGATCTATGACGATTATGGCTGACTGAAGAAAAAGCTAGAAAGAAAGAAGGATGTGGCAATGGCTTAGCGAGCAGATAGCAGAGCAGATGCTTTGCTTTGCTTCCTTCCACCATCTTTCTCATTTATTTATTTATTTATTTTGTGTTGTGTATGAAATGACAATAATTGTCATGTGTGTGAAGTGCAGAACTTGCCTAGATTGCACTCACACTCACTCATGCATCAACCATTGATTGGAGTTTGGATCCATAAATAAAACACATGCTAGTGCTTGTAATTCACAGAATCATTGCATTAACAGGTATTTGCACAAAATATGTCATATTGCTTTGATGATGTTAAAGCCTGTGATCAGTAATCCCTATGCGCATGTACTTTGTAAAATTTGTAATGTGCTGGTTGACTAGTTGTGTAAATACCAATGTGATTGTGCAAATACGTGGTAGTATATGTGTTCACGTTATTTCATCTTGTATTTCAGGAAATGGGATCCAACGTTGAGCTGGTATGGCCAGAGTCAGAGGCATATTCCTCACGGGTGAACAACTGCTCACATGCAAATTCATCCCTAGCTGTAATTCGAGCGAAGTTGAGTGCCGAACAATTAGAACAATTCAAGACATCATGCTTTGGCCATCTTCTGAATATAGATAAGATTCAGTTTAGCGGGCAGATTGTGCATGGGGTTGTGTTGCGTAGAGTAGCGGGGCAGGGTGTGAAAGACTTGGATGGACTGAGTTTCTTAATAGGGTGCGACGTTGCTCAGTTCACTCGTCAGGATTTCTGTTTGATCTCAGGGCTTCGTTTTGGGGAAGTGCCTGAAGTTTCCAGTGGAGAAAGTGATGAAATTAGACTTCAGAAAAGATATTTTATAGACGAAGGAATTACATGTAATGCTTTAGAAGAAGCATTTGTGAGGTGCACAGAGGAAGATGACGTCTACAAGCTAGCTCTTGTTTACTTTGCTGAGTTAGTGGTTTTGGGAAGGGACAAACATTTGAACATCAATCTAAATTACCTGACCCTTGTAGAGGACTTGGATGCGTTCAACAGGTTTCCATGGGGTTCGGTGTCGTTTGACAAAACCCAAGACAGTCTGTTTTCTGCACCAACAAAGTATGTGAAAAGCTTTGAAAATGAAGAGGGAAGAGGGAAGGGGAAATGTAAGGTAACCGGAACAAGCCGGAGAAATGAGAAGGGCAAGAAGGATAACCATGGTGAAGTGCAAAGGGGTGGCTGGAGTTTTAAAGGTTTCACGTATGCTTTCCAGGTACATGGTAATAATGTTCATGTCGTTATGTTTTGTTGACTTTAAAACTTAAATAATAACTTGTGTCCTGTGAATTGTGTAGATTTGGGTATATGAATTAATTCCTAGAATGGTGGACCTGAATTACTGCAAGGTTGTTGATCCGACAGCTCTCCCGCGTATTTTGCGATGGAGAACTACTACGTCTGTTCCCGAGATGAGAAAGTTGAACAATTATTTTTTCCAGAGCAAAGAGGTTTGGTTTGCAGCCCTTGGAACTATTTATAAGATTCAATGAAATTATGAAGTAGAATGATTGCATATGACTCTTGTCTGTTTTCTGAAACAGTCAGTTCAGTTGCGGGCGCTATGTCCAAGTGAAGAGGAAATGAGACAACCATATTGGAGTTGGCCACAGGGTCGCCCTGCTGTTGTCTCGGCAGAGTCAATTCCTTCTTCATGTGCTGACCTTGATGAGTTGAACAAGGCGGTAAGCTTGTTGAGGTCCGAGTTGTTTCAAGTAAAGCGGGAAAAGGACGTCCTTGAGTTAAAGGTCATACGGATGGAAAAAAATTTGGGCCACTGTTTAGGTCCTCATTTTGAGCAGGAAGTGAGAAGGGACATAGCTTTACTGAAAGAGAGGACGAATCGTTGTGTCGTGTCACATCTATTTAAGGGATATGAGGAAGTGGATGGCATGCAATGGGATGAAGGGCCAAGTAATAGAAATGAAGGAGAGGCAAATGAAGAGGAGGACATTGAAGGGGGTGAAGGGCCAAATAACAGAAATGAGGGAGAGGACAAGGAAGAGGAGGGGATTGAAAGGGGTGAAG